GAGTCACGCCATCAACGAGTTGTTCACTCTATTAGTTTTGATTGTCTTTCTTCACTCCCTGTCCGGTGTTGAGCACATCCAAAGACAATTGGTTAAGCATTTGTATCACTTGTCATTAGCCGTTAAACTGAATTTAGATTTCGATAACAATACATCCAATGATAAGTTGAACCAAAAAGTGTGTATTTTCTAAACTATTTAATTTTGTAAAATTAAAAATTTAATTTCCCAATTAATTTAGTTTAAACTATTAGCCGAAACCATACAGAAAACTGGACTCTGTTTATCGATATTTGGTTTAATACACGTAAACCGAGGGTTAATAATAACGACGGCCAGTATTTTAGTTTCGTACGGACTGTTGATGTATGAGCTCTCAAACGACAAACACCCGACACTAATTGTTTGCAATGTAACACAGAGTCCAAGTGAATTGAGCAGGGTCATCGCATATAGCACAACAATGTAATTAATACAATGTTTTACGACAATTAACAACTTTTAAATATATACATGTTTACTACACGTTAATTAAAACTTTATAATACAAAGTTTATTATGTAAAACTAGAAATAATTTTGTCAGTCATTTTTGTTTTTACTAGATTAGTTTTACATTGTTTGAGTGTATTTAAAAATAACTTTTTATACTTTGTATTAGTTGTATATTTTTTCGCAACTAATACTTTAGTCAAACGATTGTGATAACAATTTTTGAAAATAACTATTGTTTTTATTTGTAGATTAAAATTGTAGAATGTGCATTGTTGAATTATAATAAATATTAATATTAATACCGGATTAGTACTGTATACTAATTTGCGAATAACATGAAGTTAACCAAATTTATGTTAATAATGTGTTTTTAAATGAGATATTAATTCAAGCTTTGATGCCACTGACCTCCACAGCCCACCCACCGAACCGGTATGTGTGCAGTACATTGTGCAATACACTGTGCATGGTGGTTTTCATTATTACTAAATTACATTAATTTGATTATCTGTCGGAAACTCATTAACAATAACTGATTTTATAATTGATTGATGACTATTAATATATAAAGTTTACAATACGCTACTGTTTATATGAATTTTAAAATATTAAATTTATTATTGCAAATTTAAACTGATTAAAAACAGTTTTAAATAGTTAAATACTCATAAATAATTTAATACAAATATAGTATTGGTAGTAACAAAAGTAACAAATATGATTTCTAACCAAAACTATTTTTGGCAATAATTTCAATAAATATTTAAAGATTCCAAATGAAAAATTATTTAACACAAAATTAACACATTTTATTTACTAATCAAAGTATTGTAATCATATTGTAATCAATAATAAAAATAATGAAAAACAGTTAAACAAAAGCCTTAAAATTGCTAAATTGAAACCTATTAAACCTAAACTTGTGATTTCAGCATAAGTTATTTGAAAAATCTAAATTTAATATTCAAACCCATTACGGCTATAAATTACATGTATTGTGGTTTTTATAAAACAGTATTTACTATTAATAATTAACGCTTGTCTTAATAGTATTGAACACTAAATTTAATGGAAGGCATAGTTATGTGTTAAACATGTTTTGCCACTATTTTTAGTGGAAATATTTGCTGATATTTCTCAGGACAGAAAAAAGAGGTCCATTTGAGGCAACACTTAACACATAAATGCAATGGTTTTACGTAATAACTGGGACTAAATGGTACACTATATACAGTATGTACACTATTAAGTGAATCATCATTTTTCTCATTGAATAGTGTACTAAATTTGTATTATTTTCTGAGAATAGGGTCTTGTATTTTATACTATCTCTAATAAAATCTTGAATTAAATAGTTTTGTCGTGCAAAAGGCTTTAATAACTATTTAAAGTACCTAGTTAATTAATGAAGTAATGTTATATCTAAAAATAATTTACATTTTGTGGTATACTTTGAAACCAAATTTAGTAATTTATTAACAAAGTATTTAAATATTAATCAAAATAAAATACACTAAAACAATAACTTCTAAAACCGATATTTTATATAAAAATAAACAAAAAAGTTTCTTCATTTCTGATGATATCAAAAAACAATTGATAATTATTTTACATTATATTTGATAGACATGTATGTCTGACAATAACAACGATGTAATGATATTTATATACTAATAATAAAAACAAAAAATAAAAATTGTATTTATTATATAAAAATGTAATAAAGAAAACAAATTAAAAAACAATCTATAATTTCATTGAGCCTTTGATTTGCTTGATTTGTTTGCATACGACGAGCGATAAAATGACCAAAACAAGTAGAAAAACAACGGAGGCTATAATGAAATAGATTTTAATTAGCTGGATCAAATTATATGCATATAAATAGATTATCTAGTTCGTTTAAAAACATTTAAAACCGGTGGTCAAACCTCTAATCTGACAAATAACAAAATAAAATATATAGTAAACTAGTATTTCGAAAATGGGTTAATATCTTAAAATACAACCACAAAAATATATATAACGTTATAAAAACTTTTTACTATTTATTAAAAGCATATTTATATTTATAAATGGATTTAAAGTGCAGTGTTTTGTTGAATACCTGACACAATCCGATGTAATGAAAAATCGGTGGATAACCTCTTTGGTAGACGAAGAAGAATATACTATAGATGGAGAATATGACGAACTGAATGAGTTGTATTTGAGTGATGTATCGCTTCCACCACAAGTACTTCTGCACCGATGGACCCAATGATGACAATAAGTAATACGTGTACATCACTGCAGAGGATTGACAATTGAATCATGTGTGATTATTTGTTTGATTTGTAAATTTTTATAATAGTTTTATAACAATTTATATGTAAATTAATTGACATGAATTATTCAGTATTTAGATTGTGATAATTTTAACGGTAAAATCTAGTGGTTATGTTTGATTGGTTAGCATTTTTGTTTCATTTCAATATCAGTGACATTAATATATTGTATGTTTTAATTAAATATTTATGATTTAAAATTGAAATATATTTTTTCTTTTGAATAAAATTGTGGAAAAATAAAAGAAAAACATATTTTTTCAATTACTTTAAAGAAAAGTTTCATTCAATTCAATGTAAGTTAAGATAAGAGAAAATGATTGTCAGTTACAATGATTTGAAAAAATGTGTCAAATTATTCGCTAAATGTTTTTTTGTGGCAAAAATACTGTAGTTTTTGAAAATCAAGCGATGGATACAATGCACGCAATGATTGAGTTATTTGTTTTAAAAAATGTGGGATTATTTTTCAAAAATATAATTTTAAAGCAAAAAAATAAAATATTTTCATAGTTTTTGCGCTCAAATTATATGTAATATTTAGACGAAAGAAAAATATCATAAAATTCACACCGAAAATGATTATGAAATTAATAATTTCAAATTATATACATTAAGAATAATTCATTTTAATAATGATTAAAAGTAAAATTATAAATCACGAAGTTGAATAAAAACAAAAACGTTTGCTTACCAATATGAACAAGGCAGTTTAACAGGGGAAACATAGTGCCGGGACCACCTAATGGACATATCTTGATAGACAAGTGTGTCATCAGTGGTACGACAGAGTGATGATAGACATGAAGATTGGATATTTGGTTGTGTTTTTTGCGCAAAACAAAGAAAATTGTTTCAATTAAGTCAACCAATTTCGAGATGAAGAACAGATACGAGAGTCTAATAATCGCCAGCGTTTTAGGACTGGTGTCCCGAGAGTCGGGTTTTTCAAAATTAAATAGATTTAAATCGAGACCAAAGTTGAAGACAACGACAATCTGATAGAAGAACCATCCGTTCACTAAAATCATCGCAAAGTTATAAAATAGCATTAAATGTCTTAAACCAAACGGTTCCACATTCTTCATGAGCTTCGGTCCCAAGTCTTTGACGAAATACACGTAGAAAGCGATGAGTGACCACGTGGTCCACGGGCCACCTCTGAAGAA